TTAATAATAAGTTAAAAATATGTTTTATCTTTTCTACCCTATGTCACATTGGCGAAATTAATTGTGAGAAAATGAAAGATTTTACGTTTTCCATGTTCTAATGTTAAATATTTTTACATATAAAATAACCCAACGATGCTATTTTTCAAATTATCTCATGTATAATTCCGTACACTTTAATATCTGTTTTTAAGTAATTACATTGTGTTAAGATATAAATTTACAATAAGTGAATCGCCTGTCAATTTTATCGCCTTTTATTCAAATATATATCACAATTTTAATTTTATTTTAGCTTCTACGCCCCCTGCATTCATTGCACTTGGCGAAAAAAATTAAAAAAGAAAACGTTGGAGGGTGACCCCTAAGCAAGACGGGGTAGCGGAATCGACGCTCGCATTCTTCATTCCCTATCTCAGACAGCATTCCCACTCGCTCAAATTCTTGCTGCCTAAGCCACTGTATTAAAAGAGTACCAAATGTCCTGAACGTACGAAACTTATTTAGCGTCTTTCATTTTGAATGTATCAAAATTAAGTGTTTAGTAATAAAATGATATTTTTGAATATTTTGGTTTGTATATTTCAAATAAAATATATTACTATATGATATTTCTAATTTTTTTATACTTTTCTACTAACATGGGAATCATGATCGATTTAATTCTTAATAATATTCTTATAAAGATGCAAATAATGGAAACTAATTACGCAGATGTAATTTAAAAATATGGAAACAGGAAAAATGAGGTGTAATTAATACATATAATAAATATCTTAGCATGGAAACTCCCATTACGTAAAACATAACATTAAGCAATTATTAATTTTTGCATAAACTTATGGCGGCGCTAAATATTTATTAGAAACATATTACTACAATAATAAGATTACTTTTATTATTATTAAAATATATAATATATAATGTTAAATGCAAAGTATAAAATAATAATATTTAACGTATCCAAGTTCAAACCAAGGGCTTAGTAACTCCGGTGGTCGGGCGCCTGAACCGGCCAAGCGGCGCCAACGGTTTCGAGAACACGACGGAATGTGACTGTTTACCACTTTTACCTATTTGGTAACATTTACAATGCGTGCACGTAGCACATACACTAGCAGATGTAACCTTTCGATCTGACAATTTGAACATTCTTTTGCCGAGTTATGTATGTTTAATGAATATGAGGATTCGACGTTGAATTTAAACGGTATGGATTTAACATAATTTTATAAAATATTTTATAAATGTTATACTAGTACGAGTACCTACTTGAGTTAAACATTTATCATGCCGCTTTGTAATGCTTGTAATTGTGTTTAATTGACTGAAACATGCTAATTTGATTAAATAATTATAATTGCAAACAATAATATATGTAAATGGTAATATGTTAGTAATTCGGAATAGAAACCAGGCTGTAATAATGAGCATAAGATGTGCATATGAAGATTCGCTAAATGAATTAGCCTGAGCTGGAATGGGGTCGGCTAGTCTGGCTGTGTTGGCATCCGGCCTAACGACACCGGCGCATTCTCTACCAGACTACATCTAGTCACTAAACGATTCGCATTAAGCTAGCCTGATGTGGATACACATATGCGATGTTAATATTTTTATTTTTTAAATATTTCGAGTAGCGATTCTGATGTGTTCTTATCATAATTATATATCTATTATTATATAAACATCACAGTGCGATTCTTAAACGTTTTCAACGCTAGAAATTATAAAAAAGCTATTTAAATAGTAGAGTAAGTCAATTTAATAAAAGATAAATTTTGTTGACTTTAAAGAAAATATTTAAAAGATTATTGCAACTTACACTAGAGCCGGTGCTCCTGACATTAACCGTCCGTATGCTATGATTCTACTAATACGCATATATAAGACGCTTATATCATTAGAACCGGACATGCGAATGCCTTCATAAAATAACTTTAAATGAGCGCCAAAAGGGACTTTTTTAATAGTTCATCTATTGTCTGCTTCGACAGCGAATTCTTCCTTTTTTTGTTTTCACTGGGGAAATCCATTATGGGGACCATCATTGCGCAGGGTACTGTGAGACTCCTACTCACTAAAACCCACAGTTTCAGGATCAGGTTGCGTTGCAGGATCGCTTGCGCATTCACTACAACATCCTCGATTCACAGAGCATCCCGACCGCCCGGAAGACGTGCAGCGAATCCTTCCTCTACCTACCCAAATTATGTATAGTAGGGTCTTTTTAATATAACTTAAATCTGTCATATCTTTTGTTGTCCTCGAATCGATACATAACAGTTTGTCCGTCCGGTCAAAATAAACATTCACCCTTGCATAAATTCCCTAGAAGCTGAAAACTTATATGAAATTATGTTAGGGATAGCATTATAATGAAATTGTGAAAACTACCCATCGATCCCATGTGTGCAAAAATTTTCATACAAGTTCGCGAAAATGCGTTTTTTTTTGGATTTTTTTGCGAAACGGTTTGTTTTATGATAAAAATAGTTCAGACAAAAATTGTAGATCATGCAATTATCTAAAGAAATTGTCCTTAGACTTATTCCCCTAAACTATTTCTGAGATAAAGCGATTCTAAAATGTACTTAAAGACTCAAAAATATTTTGAACACTATAGATATGTAGAAAACAGCTGGGTTTTTTATAAAATTATGTACTTTTAAAACATCGATCAATACTTGAATAGACCATGTCTCCTTTCCCGATATAATGAAAAATAGTAGGATTATTCACATAGTTAGATATGGTAGTAATTAAGACCGAAACAAACTATCGCATAAGGCATAATTTAATTTTACAAAGGTTGTTCGACAGTAAAGGCAACTGTTAAGTTTACTATTAATATCTTTGACGCTAGAGAAGGCTCAGGTTGTACATGAGATATTATCTAGTGATGTGATCACCACAAAATATTCAATAATGGTTGCACGCTTGCTTTCAAACAACAAGCTTGTGAAACAGGACAAAGCGGATAGTATCAAAGCCTCGAGTATCGGTCCACCTCTGATATATTAATGTGCGAATCTTATTTAGGTACAAGTTACAAACTTATTATATTAGTTCACAAATTGAAAGACGTATGAAGTGCGCCAACACACATTTAGCGTGCACGGTTGCCATCGGCCTTAATTGCCCTCGCAATGAGCTTTTCTATGCCTAGCAATGGGACGTATTAATTCTTTGATATCCTATTTAAATAATAGAATCTCGAAGAAGATTTGTTCGATTGGAAGATTGGTTGAAAATGGCAAAATGTTTCCTAGTGCCCCATTAGATTACAGAGGGTTTTAATAGGATCTCTTCTAAATCAATTCAATATCTTACAATATTATATAAACGATCTACTCTTTTTGTACATATATATTATTTATTAGATAGTATTCTTTGTGGTTGGTATTTTATAAAGTGAAATGACATCAAACAAAAGTTGTATATTAATACAGTACATATTATATTTTATATGAAATAATATCCATACTAATATAATATTATAAATGTGAAAGTGTGTTTGTTTGTTTGTCTTTCTTTCACGAAGAGACGGATTGACGTTATTTTTTATGTGGAGATAGTTGGAGGGCTGGAGAGTGACATATACTTTTTGACCACGGGATATAATCTCATTCCCACGGGAAAACACGTTCTAATACAACCCAAAAATTATTTAGGATCAGAATTATTTGACACTTGGTATTAATGCTCTTCAATACAACTAAAAAAATACGTGTTTTAGGATTTTTCAAAATTCATGCCGTAAGAGGGTAAAATAGAGGATGAAAGTTTGTATGGAACCTACTTTTTAGAGTTTTTCTGTAGTTTTAGCGCGAGCGAAGCCACGGGTTCTGCTAGTAATCTATATATTATTTCATATAAAAAAAACTTACAAAAGACTAAAAGCCTAACGAACTGATATTCGAATATGCAGTTACGGCTAGTATTGATATCAAAGAGAATATGATGATGTATGGCAACACAGTGCTCTCATGAAGATGTTTAGCAATATTACTATATATTATAGTAAAAAGATTAAGAATTGTGCCATAGCATATAATTTTAACATAGTCCAGCTGCTATTAACATGACGATGATATTTGCCCTACAGAAGATAGCAATTCCTGAGTTATAAAACTTAATTAGCCCAAGTATATCATTCAAATAAACCTGAGAAGAAATACTACTGTAGCTTCTAGATTTACGAGTAATAACCATGCTAATCTATACATATAACAAAATAGTAACTAAGCCGAATCTGTACATTAAATTGTCTGTCTGTTACAGCATTACGGAAAAACCACTGGAGGGATTTTGATGAAATTTGGTATGGTGATAGCTGGTTATCCGGGTCAACATATAGGATACTTTTTTTGAACGCGGTCATTTGAACACGGGCGGAGCCGCGGGCAATGCTAGTATCCTATAATATTGGTGAGAAATAAAGAATATTTCGGCGTTTATGACCAAACAAGGTAAAATAGGGGATGATTTTTTTTTTAAGTAGATTTTTACTTTTCTATACCTTTGTATAGGTATATCGTCTATTTATTCCATATCAACCATTAAAATTTAAGTCGCTAGTTCTTATATAAAATTAATTGTTATGTAGGTTCGTAAAATTATTAATGGCTAGATAGCTTTTGCCACAAATTTTTATTCCGCGACAATCATTTAGTTCGTACACTGGGGTGAAAGGTAACCTCTAGGTGACCCAACGTTATGGGCCGAGTTATGAATTTAATTACAAGGATCCATGAAAGAAACTATGAAACACATTGCATTGCACTGATGACATTAGTAAAAAAATCGAAGCATAACACTCAAAATATGAGTACCGGAAACAAATACATATTTTAAGAAGCTACGACTTGGTAAATTATTGACATTAGACAGTAATTAGGTACTTTTATGAACAATGTAAACAGGATGTAGATTAAAAGGTTGTTACAATATAAATTAGCAGTCAGTAGATTAGATTAAGATATAAAAGTTATACAAACCAGAAAGCTCTCCAGACGGAAAAGCCAGCCGATTGCAGCGGCAAGCTCACAGCGAGGCCCTCAGGAAAATTCTGAATGCCGATACCCAGTGCCAGGTTTCTAAACAAAAAATATATATATATATTGAGTCATTTTTAGACATGATTTGATAAAAAGAAAAAATATTATCTCTTTATACTATATCGAGATTTAATTAAGAAAATAATGCATTCATGACTCAATAACTAGGTAATTAAGATTAGTTGGTTTTATGTGTTATTGATACACATAAATTATGTTTTTGGAACCAGCTTAACATACTTTATTTGCGAAAAACTCGACACAGTTATCTAATTTTATGTGTTGAAATATTGGTAATCAAGTAGAAAATTAAGATGACATAAACATCTATTTAATTCAAAATTAACGTTTATTTAATAACCGTTAGAAGCTTTCGAGAAAAAAGTAGTTAGGAAAGTTTTATAATCAGTCATATTACGACTGATTATAATATAATAACATATTTTTATATTATTATATTTTTGCATTATTTTAGAATTTTAAAATACAATGCTTGACAATAACGTGGCAAACGCTCAGATTACAATATACACGAAATACAGAAGATTGCGCCCACGCAGAACTGAAGCTCACTTATGGCATTTGCGACACCATCTCAATGATTCGAGCGCTCGATAAAATCTGCTTAGATAATTGAATTGAATCATGCGATGAACAAACCAATTGCAATGCGATGTTTTGCTATTCATATTGTTTATCGTTTAAAATCAATCAAATTTTTGTTTTATAAATTAAAATGCTTCGTTAAATAAGTATTTGACAACAGTTGAATCGGTCCGTTGTAATGAGATTTTTATTATGATTGTAACTATTGATTAAATAGGAGGAAGATATCCACATTCCAACGGAGGACGTTTCCCTCCCCACTGCACCTGCCATCCCTGGCCGGCTCTAGGAATGCGGCTAACTGTACAGCCTCCATCGCCGTTAAACTCAACTGTTTCTGCAGCTAAAGGTCAACGCCGGTAAGATTACGTAATGTTATACTAGAGTAGATTCCTGCATAATGTTGATTTCTGCGATTCAACGTCTCATATAACATCAACTGTTCTATGAAATATTAGGATCAAATATAACTGCAACATTTAACAATATTGAGAAAGGCATGTATGAAGCGAGTGAAGAGATTTAATTTAAACAAATATAAAGCGGATGAACATCAAAAGACATTGTTAAAATTATTGCTAGTAGGTAGCGTTTATTTAACAATGAAGCAGCTAGTGGTGTTTCAGTAAACACGATAAAGTAATTGAAGTTAGTATCCTGTACTGGCTCGTTTCTTTTTCAGTTTTTAATGTTAAATCATTTTGGATGATGTGACATGTATTCAAACATAAATTAGATTTATGGTAAAAACATAATATATCTTAAAATCGCAAGGATCCGACGAAGACATAACTTGCAAAAACAATGAACGGACATGAATGAAAATATTCGTTTATATGTGAACTTTTAATGGGCCAAAGGGGCTTCAAAGAGACTAAATAATGAATGTATTTTTTCAGCCCTTTAAGCGTCCCACTGTTGGTCAGGAGCCTTCTTCAATACAAGGGGATCAGGTCATAATTTATCGACGATACCATGTTGTCCAAGTACGGGTTTCGAAAACTTGCTAGGTTCTCTTAGACATGCAGGTTTCCTTACGATGTTTTCGATGTTAGCAAGTGGTAATCATGTTCGAAATTATTGGTATGTGAATCAATAGCAGTGTGGTAGCGCGCTCGCTTGAAAAAAACCAAGAAGCGGGTACAAACCTCACATCTCGCACCTCTTTTTAAATAATATATTTATTTTAATAGCTCTAAATCTATAATTCTCTTCCGACTTTCATAACAAAACAGACAATCTGCTATGTGAAATTATTGTTTCCAAGATTAACCCAGATAAATAACTTAGCGACAAAAATTTAAATTATTGTTAAAGTTTTTTATGTTTTGGTATTGTTCGAAATGAAAATAAATGAGCTAAGGCTAAGAGATACATCGTCATTGTTGAATTCAAATGAAAGTTTAGTCGATCTTGTGTATTATTATACAAGCACATAATTACATGCCATATAAGTAAAAAAAATATACGTATTTATGAGATTGCAAAAGATTTAAGTCTTTTACAAAACAGGTTAACAATGTTACTCGTAGCAAAAAGTAGATAAATTCCTTAAGAGAGTCAATGACACATTTGTAATACTCAGTTACAAATTCCGATAGTTTTTACAGCATCTTCACGGTTATATCAAAAATATGCATAAAGATATTTTCAATGGACCATTAAATTTATTTTGCAGCTATAGTCGTCGGGCACGAGATCGTATAACGGAATCAACAGCGAGCTATTATGTCAACAATTTCATATAGAAATTTTATAAGTGAACGGAGTCACGCTGACTCCGGATACATCCGAATTCCAATTACGTCATAGACAAGACCATTTCACTTTCCGACCTACCCGGAAGTGAATTCCTAAGCACGATCATACGGCCCGACCAATATTTCAGTTGCTCTAACAGAACGATACCTTATTACAATGTATTAGAGTTTTCGCCGTAGATCCGTCAGAAAGCGTCAGATGCGAACAGAAAAATTCTAAAGCGGATGTGAATGTTCTATAGCGTTACTCAAAAAGTAACTTAATTTTCGAGAGTTAGAGTCTAGATTATTGGATTGAACGGTGTGATCATCGCGAAAGCAGTGGCAACTTTCTCGACACGTTAGGATAGGGGCGCGAGAGGCAGCGGCGCGGGGCCTTGTCGACGCGACGGCCCATTGACGACACCGTGACCTACATACCGGAGATCCATTCATGCCGCGGCCTCGCACAGCTGCAACGCACGCGCAGGACTCACAAGCCCAAACACTTGCCGCTAATGCTGTGACACTAGAATTTCCATCAAACACTTACATAACCTCGTAACGGGCGTTGTCGCAATCGACTTAAACACATCGAGCCGAGGCCAGGTCACCATGACTACACTTGTTCAATTAGAGCCTCCTCATAATATACACGCTCAACCAATTCACGAAATCATTAAATGATAACCATACCTCGCATTTTATCCAGAAATAAGATAATGGAATAAAATATTTCTTTAACTTATATGATTTGGATTTTAAATACAGATCGAATAAACCAATTCATGTATAAGGGACATTTTGATTGACACATCTAAATTTAAGTTAACTACTACTTATTTCTCTTTTTAAAGTTTTTGATAATAATCGCAAATTCTAACAAATAATTAATAATATGACTAAGTAGTTTATTCCTTTAATACCTCCAGGTAAATTTCTAAGAAATTAATTAAATTTCTAAGAAATCTATTGTCAACTGTAACGCCGGCGTGTCCGCGGTTGTAGAGGGATTATTATTATGTCTCATGACAGCAAAAACTATGTATTTACTTTTCAAATGTGTGTACTATATTCTTAAATAAATAAAGTTTTAATATGTATAATAATCTATACATATGTATAATAAAATTGTAACTAAGCCAAATCAGTACATTAAATATTTTTTGGAAAATCTTATTGAAATAAACATTATTCTCGATACAGAGGCCCAATCTATAATTTTTAGAATTTTTGTCTGTCTGTCTGTTACCGCATCACGGGAAAACCAATGGATAGATTTTACCGCGGGAAAATGTCTAATTTCTGAGAAAAATACAAAAACTGCAATGTAAGAGTATACTAATATGTAAAACCCAAGAATTTGGTTTTTGGCCATCTGAACGCGGGCGGAGCCGCGGGCAATGCTAGTATATTAAAATAAAAAGTATTGTGCTAATACTGTGACACAAAACAGAAGAACAAATTTTCATGCAACTCTCAGAGTGGGTTGCCACATAATTATAATACCTACACAAAAAGTATTCCGAACCAGACAGGGGTTTATTATTGTATTAAATCGAGTGAGAACCATTCAATTAGTTTTATAATATGTGATGTTAGCTTAAGATAAAACAATTCAATTTTATTTTTTTATGTTTAAGGTACTATAAACATCAGTTCCGCATTTAAAAATGTTTACGTTAAAATATGTGCGACATACATTTGACATCTTAAACGTCTAGTTACTCAATATATCATTTTGATGATGATAATTACGAAACCTACATTAGACATAAATATTTCATGATAAAGTACTTTATTTAACTTTACTAAGACAATATTATATTAGATAAGGACAAATAAATTCTAGGTACGAGTTTTCTAGTGTCGATACTAATGATTGAACGTAATATACGACCGGATCGCAATTTTTGATTCAAGGTAGTTGCGCTAGGCTTGAGCGGAGAGTGCAAGCGGGCATATGAGCGGGGGTGGGGTGAGGTGGAAGGGGGAGGAGGAGCCGGCTGCCAGACAGCGGGGCTCCGCATGGGAGGCAAGCAGCAGCCTTACCTTACCTCTCTCATAGCTGTGATCATTCGACCCCACGAAAGTTGATCCACTTCGATCAAAACTGTACATTCATGTGGTATTATGAACACGCTTTGCAAGTACGTTTTATTATCAAGAACTATTTTTATTGATAATTATCACCTTTTTATTAATAATTAAAACTAGTTTACTTTTTTGTTGTTTTTAAGAGATTGATTTTTAGAAAAGTTTTAACATTCGTAATTTTATCAAACATCATCTAGTATGATAATACAAATCATGTACTGTGTCTTGTTTACTAAGGAGCTACAGTTATAAGAGACGGCGTAATAATTTAAAGTTGCATTGACAATAAATGTCATCTTGTGAAATTTAATATCTACTAGGCCAAGTTAAAAGGACCAAAACAAAAATCATTATCAAGTAGGTATTTCATTTGCTAACCACTCTAAATATCCAATATAAAACTGGCATCAAAGTAGTTAAATATAACTATCTCAACAAAAAATATGATTACCAAATAAAAAAATCACAAACGAAAACGCTTTTAGCAATCCAAGTAACTTTCGCTGTATGTGTTAACATTGGCGAATCAGTATCGGTTAGTTAATTATTCAATGTACAGTTCGAAGATGAAAAAAATGAAAATGCTTACAATTCTACAAAACTAAGTCTAGGCCTATGTTAAAGTGCATCAAGATCAGCGTCGGCGCCGCACACGTCACGCGACCGCATTCCATGGCGCCTCCATTCATGTTGCGTGAGTGAGAGGTCATCATAAGGCCTCTTGTAGGAACGAGAAAGGAAAACGAACGCCGTTACCCTGTATGGGAATGCAATTCGTAAGCGCAAGCGCACGGATTTGATACCGGACTTGCTGCGTTCCATCTCACGTCCGTCACACGATATAGGGGCGTCCTGCTCGCTCGCGATGAAGCGTTCCTTTCGGCGCGGGCAGCATATCTGCCGATGCGTATGTTTGCATACTGGCTATGTGATTTGATCGATCGCCGGTTTCCTGTGAGAAACGCAGGTTGTTTGTCGAGTCAGGTGGCTCGGTGCATTACCGTTAACTCTTTGTGTGTCCGGACCGCACGCACTGTCATTCCTTATAAGATTTTTTTTTATTTCTAATCACAGATAATTGACACGCCAAGCTCATAATCTCAATGTTCAACTATTTCATCTTCTACCTTCATCTAAATATCAATTTTCAGAATATTATTACATATACATATATATTTTTAGATAAAGATATTTAATACAAACAAGAACAACAATACCGTAATAAATACACCGCTATGCCATCTAAGTACAAAGTTCTATTACAAACTTAGTGGAATGTGGTTAGGCACGACGCCCGACTCATGGCTAACTTAAAACAGGTTAATATTATTCAAACTCATGCTTAAGTACTAATGATAGTACATCAGCGTCGTTAACATATTTTGTACATAAAAGTCCCTATTCACGACTCTCTACTAAAATCTAGTAGTTATCTGCTTAGTCGCAGTTATTTTCTGGTCTGCATTGTCATACTCGTACATATAAGACATATAGTTAATTTTGTGGAGTCTCCTCTACATATATCCATTTAATATTTATGTCGATAACGCAAAAATTAAGCTAAACTGCAATAGCAAGATAGATCTTTGAATATAATATGTAAGTAATTAACAGCTAAAATGTATGTAGGTATATTAAAATTGTATTTAGACCACTAAATGTCTAATAATCATAAATTTTATATAGTTAGGTACTTTACATGGAGGCAGTACTTAAAACGGTACACATTTAAGTTGTCAGTCAGATTGCAACCACAAATTTATATGATGGGCAATTTGCTCAATGTCACAATCTGGAGACTAGCCAAAATGTCACAATAAAGAGAAAGATGTAAACACAGCCGCATTCTAATTAAAAAAAATAAGGTCAAATCGCTAAGGTCGTCTCGTCTGCTCTCAAGATGTCTCGCCAAAAAAAAATGAGTCATTAGACAGTCTGCGACAATATATTTATGAAAACATAAAGCGAATTGTAATTTGAAAATTGAATTTTCAACAATATAAAATTCTACGAGTTTATAATATACTAAGCACACCCCGCGGCTTCGCTAGCGCTAAAATTACAAAAAAGCTCTAAAAAGGTAGGTTTCATACAAACTTTCATACCCCATTTTACCCCCTTATAGGATAAATTTCGGATATGCTAATACACGTATTTATTCAATTGTATTGAACATTAATAGCAAAGCTTCAAGTAATTGTGATCATAAATAATTTTTCGGGTTGATTCGGCTTTTTTCGGGAATGAGATAATCTCCCGCGGTAAAAAGTAGACTATATCACTCTCCAACCCTCCAACTATCTCCACACAAAAAATCACGCCAATCCGTCATTCCGTTTCAAAGTGAAAGAAGGACAAACAAACAAAAAAAAAAAACATACACACTTTCACATTTATAATATTAGTATGGATTCCTAAGGCCAACCTTTTTTTTATTATTTTAGGCTAAAGTAAATTACATATATATTTCATGAAATATACACATATTTTAATTTACTACGAAAGAAATAAACTTTATATTATATCTATCATAAATAATTCACGACAATCGTGGTGCTATTTGGCACGTAGCTGGCTCGATCCCTGATCCCATCTAACCCTACCACCCTGATATTATCCCCGGTCTTAATAAGATGAACCTAACACCTAGTTATTGGTACCCTCTTAATATAAACATGAATTTCCTCTCTCCATATTGCAGGAAGAAAGTGAAAGAACTATAAAGATATAGAACAAAGTTGATGAGAACAATAATGTTTTTGTTACTAAAAATTACATCGATATCTAAATCGGCTTGTTTTTTATTGTAAATCTTAGACAAGATGACAAAATCAAAGTTTTCAGGTACAGTAATCGAGGAAAACACTTCCAACAAATTTGAAAATATATAATTACTAATCAAACAGAAACACTAAGATCGCACCATATATACCATAGTTAGTAATCAATACAAATATTTGATTACTAAAAATTACAAATAGAAACACTTACAATCCGTAAGTATAATAAAAGTCATTGTTGGAAAAGTTTTACATAATAGCATTACACATGTAAATGAGAATGATCTCATATCTGAACAAAGTACAGTTCTAAGTGAGGCATATAGCACATTCTAGGCGCCATGGCGGATTTCCTTCGACAATTGCAACATTCCTAGCGGGCCATCGCGACTACTCAGCCTTCGATCGATTATTATCACGCGAAGGTACCTGTCTTACAATAAGAAGTATGTGTTTTGTATGGGTCACATTACGCCCACGTGCTAGTGGAATTACGTTCATAAATCAGTCAACTTTAGATTATTGCCTTATAATAAACTTTAATATAATAACTAATGGATATGATAAAGGGTTTCATTGTATTCGTTTGTGTTTATGTTAAATACGAAAACCAACAAAAACAATGGCTCTTCTAAGTCTTCACTTTGTGTATATATAATACAAGATGTCTCTTGTTATATAAGTCAGCAATATATTTAAAGACAAATATACTTAACTGTGAAAAAAAGGGGTCTAAGGGCATGTCTATAAACTTGTAGTTTGGACTATGATGAAGAATCTAGAAAGTAGAAGGTATACACACATAGAGATTAGCTTAATGTTGATGTAGATGGAGGAATGAAGGAGTTATTACCGAAAAGGTATCATACTTATCAATCAAACCCAGAAGCGAAGAGTTGAAAAGATATCCATTTAACATAAATTATTTTAAAGATCAAGAAGGCATTTATAACTTTTCAAGTATGTATTTATTTATACATATAATAAAATTGTAAGTAAGCCGAATCTGTACATTAAATATTTTTTGGTAAAATCTTATTGAAATAGACATTATTATCGATACAGAGGCCGAATCTATAGTTTTTAGAATTTTGTCTGTCTGTCTGTTACCGCATCACGGAAAAACTACTGGAGGGATTTCGATGAAATTGGTATGATGGTAGCTGGTTATCCGGGTCAACATATAGGATACTTTTTACCGCGAGAAAAATCTCATTTTTGACAAAAACTGCAATGTAAGAGTATACTAATATATAAAACCTAAGAATTTGGTTTTTGGTCATGTGAACGCGGGCGGAACCGCGGGCAATGCTAGTGTATAATATTAAAAGCATATACTTTATCCACATTCCTTAAAATTGAGTCAGGTTTAAAGATTGACCATAACAATTTAGTCACCTAGGTCTCATTCAATATGCAAGTCACAATTACCTTCGTGTACATAATTCACTCGGCATTACTCACCCATTCACATAACTACCAAACATGTCAAGGGCGGTATTAGCTCAACGTTGTATATTTGGGCCAACGAGGGCTGATGTAAACAAAATTCTATATCGTTTATTTACAAATTAAATATAAATAAAAATTAGACTAATAAAATAATAATATTTATTCATCATCATTATCATTTATAAAGTATCGGATTAATAAGTATATAGAAATACGAGTATTTGGATACTGCACTATCAAAATACAAAAACAAAACACAATAACGAACGTTAATCTAAGACTCTCTGCTACGAAATAAACCATTTTTGTAACCAAAACCCTGAATTTCATTCACATTTACTTTTCAATACTATTGTCTAGGTACGTATGTATCGATTTTTACTTTTCAACTGGTTTTCCAACCTTGTAATTTTAAATTAATTGGTGAATTTATATTTAAGTGTTTGCCCAGTATTCGAAATTCGATCATATTTTATTTATTATAACACTAAAGCTCGTGAATAGAGCTACTAAAATAAAAAAAAATTAAAACCAACTTCAAAAAAAAAAACAAATAAAAGGTAAAACATAACTGATCGGTAGTTTTCATTTACTACAGATACCTAATCAAATATTGTGCCAGTCGATGCACAAATCACACCGACTTCGATTTTTTTTTAATTTTCACTTTTGTGTTTTTTTGAAGTCGGTTTTTAATTTTTTTATCAAAAAAAATATTTTTCTCTTTTTAGTAGTAGTAAAGTAATAAGAAAATATTTTACTAAAATATTCGCTTAAGCCGTTTTAGTTAGTTTGATGCCAATTTTTATATGAAGACTGACAAACTGAAATTCGCTTTTATTAGTAACACAAAAAACTTAGCTCTAAAATCTAATTCTAACGTATTGGGCTTGACAAGTCAAACAAAATAAGCCCAAACTCAAAGTATCTACTATTAGCCGTTGAAGAGTTCCATCTATCTAACTTTTGGCCTTACCATCAGATCAGGTCGACGATACCGAACCACTGCACTATCAACAGAAATAGAAACACTTGCAAAGTTTCAAGTCAGTTCAAGTTGTTCATATGACAATTAGAAGTTCATAGGTAAAATTCGCTATTTTTCCACCCTTTGGGGTGGTATTTTTTTTCAAATTTAAATGGGACCAAGTTAGAAATATGCACTTTCAAACAAAACAAAAATCGGTTAATAAATGACGGAGTTCTGAGGTAACAAATATAAAAAAAAAACATACAGCCGAATTGAGAACCTCGTTGAAAAGACCTCGGTTGAAAGAAGATAATAGGTTGACAAACAGAGGAGAAGAAGGTACTGTGTTGTGTTTCGTATTTATAAATAGACAATTATGAATAATTAATACGTGGAAAGACTTGGCAAATCACAAGAATTTGTTCATTTCAACTGTAATGACGAAGATGAAGTTTTGTAATAACTATTTATCTTATAATGCACATAATCTATACATATAATATAATTGTAACTAAGCCGAATCTGTACATTAAATATTTTTTGGAAAATCTTATTGAAATAAACATTATTATCGATACAGAGGCCGAATCTATAGTTTTTAGAATTTTTGACTGTCTGTC